ACATTTATCCTTGTTTCCTATATGTGATGAATGTGCTGTAGTTCTATCTTAATGTAAGATAAAAAACAAAACAGCTGTAATAAGGCATACAATCCTTAGTTTGTTGACCATGGCAATATGAAATGTATATGTAACCAATTTTGTTGAATCATGTCTTTCAGTTTTTATTCAGTTAGTTTTCAGGTTTTTCTTTTTGTTAATTATCGTCTCTCTTTTCTTGTCTATGTGTGGAGCTGTTTGCATATTGTTGGGAAGGACAATACTAAATACTGGGGGCAGCTAATAGCTAATAAAATTTGTACTTTCCATTATAATTTCACTTTATTCTAATACCAAATATATCCCAAATACTTAGCAATAGAAGGCACTAGATAATAAGATAATTTTAATTTATAAAAGCAAATAATAATGAATTATCTAAAAGATTTCCCCCCCCTTTTCATATTTTTCTCTTTATATGAGAGTTAACTGGAGCTGTTTCTGCATTGTTTTCAATACAGTAATGACCAGTCAGACTGTACTGGTGTTTTTAAAACTAGAAATAGAAAACCTTAGAGATGTTCCACAGATGTAGTAAAGGAGGACCTAAAGAGGGGACATTGTAACACTGGAAGTGAGCAGCCCAAAGAAGATGATGATCACCCACCCAATGAGGCCATTGCCCAAGTGAGAGAAAGAGATTCACTCTGAAACTAATATGTTTGGCTTTTGCACATATGTTTAATTAAAGTCAGCATGGTAGTTTTTATGTAATATTACAGAAAGAACATGTTATAAGAAAGTCTGTTTTGTAAAGTATCTTAGAAATAAAAGGGGCAAAAACCCCAAAAAACAGTCCAAACTAGATTTCAGTCATTTATTGAAATATTTCCATGACAACTATTGGACGGAAATTACATTAGTGCATATTTCAAGATTATTTTATAAAAGATCTGAGTTACATATTGCTCTCATTCAGATTTTCCAGTATTCAGAGTGATTAGGGTTACACACTAGTGAAGATTAGAAAGACAATCCTCTCCCTGAGAGAACAAAAAATACAACCCAGTACACACACCACTTTTGTCATCACTATATGGCCAAAGAAAAACAACATAAAAGAAACAAAAAAACCCCAAAATTCTGTAGTTTAGTTTAAGACAGAAGAAGTGAAAGTCTATGGCTCAGAACAAAATGCAAAATCCAAGAAATGGTTTCGGTTCCTCTTGAAAACTTAAACTGAAATGTAAGCTTACAATTTATTCATTTACAGGAGTAAATTCAAATTTTGAGTGCAGAGAGAGTGCAACGTACCTTTTCTGAAATTAAAACTCGTTTGAGCAAGAGTGAACACAAAGACTCAATACAAAAGTTAAATACCAAATAATAAATTAGGTTCATAAATTAATAAAAAAACATCTTGAAGCAACAGCTGTAATAACATAAATAAAGAAAACTGAGCTTCTCATCATCTACAAGCCCCCCCCCACACAAAAAAAAAAAAAAAAAAAAAAAAAAATGGCTACTGTGTCTTATTCCAGTGTTGCAATATCTAGGCTCAACTTCACCGTCCTCTGTCCATCAATGTTCGGCAGCATCTCACTCCAGAGGAGAAAGGGGAATAAAGTTTCACAGCCTGCATAAACTGACACAGTGTTTCCTACAAGTCACACACAGAAAAGGCTGCCTGTGCATGTCATTAAAACCCACATGGACATTAGGTTGTCTGCTCTCAGATAAAGATGGGAGGACATTGGGTTTTGAGGACTATTCAGTAGCTTGCAGGAGGTTCATTAACCTCTGAAAAGTAATGTCTACGCCAGTATCAGTACCAGTATTTCCCATCGAAAGACTGTACACACGTTGTTTTCATGTAAACAAATGCATTTTCCTTTCCACGCACACTCAGACCTAAATTTACAAATCAGTCATCAGCCAACATTTCTGAAAAGTCTGAGGACATTTAATGAAATTACGTACCAAACTATTGCTGTCATCGAAGACGTGTTTTTCATTCCCTTAACATTCAAAAAACAAACAAACAAAAAAATCCCAACAAAGTTTAAGTCCCTTTCCCCTGCTTTGTTTTGACATTTTTAGTCCTTATACACAGTTTGCTGACCGTGGCCTCTTTCATCATGCATTATGTGTCTCCGTACGTGGATCCGTCGTACTCGTCTATCCCCTCCCACGGCACCCTCTTCCTCTGACTGACCAGCTCCCAGCGATGAACCGGAGCCTCTTGAATCTAAAAGGTGCAAGCCTCCTGGTCCAGATCCTCTGTTGTTCTCATAGATGAGGATATTGAGGGTTTCTTCAAATATTCGGGCTTCGGGAAACTCAACCTAGAAGCACAGGTGTTTGGGAAAGGTCACTGAATATTTATTTGCTCTGTACAGCAACCTGAAAATGTGCTTATTTGTAATAAGCATATGTTCAGGGCATAAGCCCAATATAAGGTGTTGGTACAGGAATAAGTTTAAAAAAAACATAATTGCATATCACTGTCATCCAACCAAATGCTTCCTGCCTCTTAACGTAGAAAGCTCAATAACTGACTCCAGTGGGAGGGTTTTCTCTTCTTTGGATTTACTGTAGGTTAATTAAAAGGCTGCCATCATTACCAGACAGCAAGTAAGTGTATTTCTCAAAAATGTTGATCAAATGCTTTAATATTTATTAAACAATGCTTACTTTGGTCTGCTTCTTCTCTGTAGCATAGACAATGGAAGTGCAGCACACTTCAGCAATCTTGCGGCCTTCGCCATAAAAAGACCAGCAGCAGATCTCATCCCCCAGCACGTCTTTGACAAACAGGACGCGGCCATTAAATCGCAGCACGAGTTTGTCGAACAGTTCAATGTTCTTCAGCAGGTTATCGTCAGAGTTGCTGGACACAGCAGAGCAACAAAAAGTAAGCATCTATGAACTTTGTGGATTCATTATCATTTTAAAAATCCAAAGATCTTACCTGGTGTATGAGTATTTGTTGTTTCCTCTGTTGTTCTGCAACTTTACTACTGGCTAAAAGAGCAAGAAAGAGCAATATTATATTAATAAGAGGGTACGTTTAATACAACCTAAAACGAGACAAACACTTAAACTGTCTCTTTCTAGTTAACAGTAAGTGAGGAGCCTTAAACCAAAGGGGTCATTTCAGTAGAAAACACACTGCTGGTGAACAACACAATAACAACAAAAATATAAGTGCAAGCATCTAGTGCAGGGGTCAGCAACATCTAAAATGAAGATAACACTGTATATATTGTTTTTACCTTTATGCTTTGTGTGAACAACTAAGGTGTGTTGCTTATGAAATCCATGAAGTGCTACAGAGAAAATTACATTTTATTTATGTAATTA